CTCTCGACTGTTTTGACTTTGAGGATCCTAAGTCAAATACTATCATAGCCAAAAAATATCATAGGCTTAGGCAGTAAAATTCAGTTCGGCCGTTAATTAGAGTCAAAGTACCCGAAAAAACGTCCTTTTTGGCTCTTTGAGATCATTTTTCCCAAAATTTAGGGCTGAACAATCGCAAAAAAAATACAAAAAAAATTATAACTTTGCTGTTTTTAAATTTTTCCATTAGTTCTTCGACATATAGTCATGATAAAAAATTTCAGAATTAGGGTTTAAATTTCATCAAAATCGGACGGCTTTATCATATAGCTACCATAGAAATAATAAAAATATATAATAAACTCTCTAATAATTGAGCTGCAAGTCATCATAGATTCAATGATTTTAGACATATACGAAAGTAAATCATAATTTTAATGTTTTAAAAAATATTTAATTCATGCAATAGCTGATAGCTGTTTATTTTAAAATTAAATATATTAACAAATTTGATGTACAGAAATTGTGTTAACGAATGGTGCATTAGTTTTGCAATAATAATGTAGATTTAAAATGAAAAGACAGTTACTAAACACTGACAGGACAGAAGCGAACACAGTTTAGTGATTAACGTAACCGATTTTAGCAAATACCTTATATTTTAATGCGACTTATTCGGAATAACATATTTTAAAAATGATGTTTTGTTAATTTGTCACGGAGTGGTAAACTTTTTCATATGTTCATAAATACGTTCTAGTTATGAACCGAAAATTGTTTGTTTTGCTACGGAAAATTGATTATGAACTGGACCAATGCTTATTTGCATAATCCGAATCAATAACGAGTGGGTTGTGCAGTTGGTAAATGGGCGTTGTGGGGTCGAACTCACAATCAATGGCAATCGGTTACATTGACAATTTTAGCCGCATTTCACGACAATTAGAGTTCATTCAAAATTCAGACGACCTAATTTTGTCTGTCAAACGGTTCGGCAGGTTTTCCCACCAACCCACTAACCAGCAACCACAGGCAGTTAACTTTTTGGCACAGATAGGAATATTTTGTGGGCCACGTCAAAGTTTTTTCTCTCTCTTGATGTTCTTTCATTTCGGCTTGTTTATTCATGAAATTCAATTTCTCTGTTTCTCCATTTTTTATCAGGTGAAGTCAGATGCGGTAGGACTTTACGCACACATGCACGCAGTCAAATGAGATTAATAATAATTTAATTAAAACTCGTGGGCTTAATGCATTTCGCTTGTAACAGACTTCAATGCGGACTTCTGTGCGATGCTCCTCTTTTCTATGGATTTTTTTTGCCTGAAATGGAATTTAATTAAATTTTGCACTTATCGTTTTTACACATCCACATGGACGAAGGCGTCAAACGAAAGTTGGACTGCCATTCAAATGCAGTGCCACGCCCACCAATGACCAATGCTCAACGCTTTTTTTGTTGAAGAGCAGAACCTACATTTTCAGTCATTTTTTTTCTAAGTGTTTTTCTTTCAGTTTTCTCTTTATTTTAATTAATTAATTGACCGTTGTGTTTGTTATTCAATTTGTTTATGTATATGTGGCCTCAAACAGTCATATTCAAAATAAATTTACACAGAATAACACAAACAAAAAATTTATTTAAAACCACCATAAAGTGATAACAGCTTATAAAGTCAAAAATGTTTAATTTTAGGTAAGATTTTTTTTATATGTATAATATCAGTAAATCCATTTTCGTATAAAGAGGGTATCTTAAAGGGTTGTCGATTCAAATTACCAAAATGTTGAAAACCAGATTATTTTTTACCTGTTAACTGCCGAAGAATTTGGTCTAACTGAAGGAGAAAAACATTTTTTTCTTATTTCTTTTTTTAAGGTCTAAGATCAACTCAAAAAGAAAAACCTTTTTAACTTATGTTTACTATGACAAGTTTTATAAATTACATGATTTTAAATAAATAAAATAATATATTATTTTAAAAATGTATACTAAAACAAATTTTAATTTGACTGAGGCCGAAATTTTATTTTTATGAGCTCTTAACAAAACAAATTGATATTGTGATATCAAACACAAACACCACGTGAAAAGAAACTCTAAAAAAATTGACCCTTTAACAAAATATTTCTGCTTTAAAATTATTTGCCCACTGTATGACTATATTTTCGTTTAAAAATTTTACAAATTTTTTCAACATATTTTTATGATAAATGAGTAAATTTATTTGAAATATAAAAATAATAAAATAACAATTAATACGTTAATAAATATCTCCCAGAACCGTGCTCAAGTGAATGGAATAGGGGCATGATTAAAGATTTTATTTTCTTCCCTCAAACACATAAATAATTTTTGTAACCACACCCAAAAAAATAAAATGAAAGTTTTGTTTTAATAAGCGTGTCTTAAAAATATTACAGATAGTATTAGAGTATAAATATTAATTCAATACTAAAAAATATTCATTTTAGGATCAATTTTATACTAAAGAGTGTAAACATTTAGGCTAAGACCTTGTTTTTGAACAACGTAAGATTAATTTTCATAACTTAGTAATTTAATACCCATCTTATTGAGAAATTTTGGACACCCAATAGTTTAATGTTTGCGTCATTATTTCTATGAAAAATTTTTGGTGCACTTAAGGGATTAAACTAGTTTTACAACCTCTGAAGGTCATTTGGGACGTTGCAAAAAAAAGATAAAACCAAATCAGAAAATTTAAAATCCCACCACAGTTGAGTCTAATTGGAATTTCGTTGTTGTTATTGTATGTCACTCATTTATAATGAACTCAAAATATTTGTGTAATCCTTTGTCGCTGTTTAATTACATAATTTAATTTAAAAGCAATTCATTACGTTTGCAATTATTAGTTGTTGTTAGTCTCTTTTGTGCGTTAAATTTTAATCCCTTTCATTAAGGGGGCTCAAAATTTAACCCACTTTTCACTCACTCTTCCCATTGAAACAATCGCAAATTGCAGTAATCGCAAATTTCAATAAAAAAGGAAAGCTTTTGTGACTTTTTTGACTAAACTTAACAATAATGGCCTAACATCAAAAAATACAAACTGGTCAAAAAATGTATTAATCTTATATTTACCGTTGTTAAGCATATTGTAGGAAAGTTAATTAGTTTTTCCCTCTATCTTTCATAGTCATTGAGATATTTGCGTGTATATGAATGCAATTTTAAAAAATCTAATTTTTTTTCCTTTTAAATTCTGTAACATTGTCCTAATTTTTAAAGTTGATCCGAGTGATAGTTTTGGAAAAACAGCTTTGAAAAGTTGTGCGTTCGCTTTCCACTTTTATAGTCACTTGAAACTTTAAACCCGATTTTCTCGAAATTGTGTTTTTAAAGTTGGTTGTTAAGATTTCCCTTACTATACCGATCTTAATGAAAATTAGGACATGTTTTCGAGATGTATAATAATTTACAAGGTCATGATCGAACGATTTTAATTTCAATACAGCAATTTAAAAAAAAAAAAAACAAGAGAGGAAGCAACCTTCGTGAAACCGAAGTTTATATACCCTTCGGCAAGCCGAAGTTCATATACCCTAGCAGCTATTACAAAAAATATCGATTAAAAACGACTAAATTGCGTATATGTATGTACATACATATGTATAAAAATAATGAAGCAATGTCGATTTTGCGCTGAATTTTTCGATCGTTCCCAGTTAAATGATATCGTCGCTCGATCATAAAAAAGTTAAACCAGTAATTCTAATATAGTAAACCTACAAAACTGAAAATTAAATCTACTTCATGTTTGTCTTCAAGTCTGTTTAATTAATTCTTTTGAACTACGCTAATGATTATAATAACGAGTCGATTAACTTAAACAAATTTCTTAACATTTTGGGAAATAATTTTAATGCTAGTAATTTATTTATAATAATTTTTTACTTTACAAATTTGTTTTAAAAATTAATGACAAAATATATTCTTTTTAGAAAGTTTTGGTCTATAGTCTAAATGAAGTCATGAAACAATTTTCAAAATTTGTGAAAAAAAGCATTAAGAAAACATATTCAGGAAACCCCCAACGAAATAGTCAAATAATTAACTTAAAAAAGAAATTTTATATTTTTTATAGGATATAGGAGTTTTGGACGCTCGATATTAGTAACCATTAAAAACAAGGAAGAAATATTAATGTTTGGTTAAACCTAATTTTTTAAAAAATTTACATTCCTTTAATTCTTTTCTATTTTGTAAGTGATTAAATCTCAATTTATTTGCTATTATTTTACGTTTGTCTGATTTGATCTACACTGTTGCCCTCTGTTACCTCTGTTAGTGATCGAGAAATCAAATCAGAATTTCTGTTAATTGTAACAGAACCGAAGAACTCAAAAACATCACACTCCACTCAATTCTCCCGATCATGCGCAGGCGAGGCCTCCGTAAGTGCGAGGGAGACGACCATATTAAGATGAATCGCACACTCACTGGACTCTCGTTTCTCTCGCTCGCTCTCTATTTGAGCGCTAGGTACACCCCCGTCGCCTTTTCCGTTGTTCATCGCTGTATCTGCTTCACCTTTTGGTCCGGCAGGAGAGCGCGAGAGACAGAATTGAGTGATTTTTTGAGTGTGACCCACACTTTGGTGAACCGCGCCTGCGCAGAAAGGCAAAAAGTACCAAAATATCCCTAGAATTGCGCGCTCGCAGCCGAAATAGGCTCAAGCAGCGTTAACGGTGTGCAAGAGCTAGAGTGATTTTTCAAATATAGTACTCGCTAGAGATGGGAAAATGTTGATGACTCTGTGCCAAGCATCGAGAAGCGTGATGTTTTGAAAACTTCGATGTTCTTAGCAAGTAAACTTACATTTTTGTTAAGTAAACGTTCATTTTTAACATATCTGCTCGGTAAACTTTGATGTGTACCGTTTCTGTTGGGAAATCATTTGTCATCGATAGTTGGAAAACATCGATGACATTGTGCCAACATCGATAACTTGTGTTTTATCTCGCTCAAACGCGAAAAAACATCGATGATTCTTGTTTTATCTTGCTCAAACGGCGAAAAAAATTGGTGGTGTTCGGTTGTACGTCGCGCAAAGTCCCGCAAGTCCGCAGAGCAAAATATATCTCACAAAATCGCAAGTTTACAGATTCACTTCAGCTTACGGTGTGTAGCAGAACCACTTAAAAGTAACGACCGGAAGAAATTCAACAATACGCATTGCAAATGCAAGTCTAAAGTGTGCGCAGGCAAACGCAGTGTGAAAGGAAACAGCGAAGCACTGAATTGTTAATTAACGTGTAATAACAATCCGGCAAATAAACCACATACCGTATCCGATCTACAGCAGAAAAACGTGAGCACCTTTAAATCTAAATTTTAATTGTTTTTCGGACCCTTTTATAACGGCCCGCCGCGTGAATTTGTTCCGAAGCGGTGTTTTGTGTTTGATTAACAACAAATTAAGCATAATTAAAACGTTCTCTCTCTGCGTATTTCTCTGAATTTTACCCCAACCGGCGAAAAAGCCGTCGCGTGTTGCTGTCTGTGTTTCTCCGTGCTTGTGAGTGTGTGTGTACTGCATACAGCTTTTTAAACTTTGTGCAAAAAAAGAGGAAAGAACATAATAAGTCCAGCATCCACTCAAATTGATTTTTGTTCTCCTCCGTCGTTATTTTTCCTATTTGCCTTCTCGCGTTCTCCGCTCTTTGTTGTCATTGCCAATTCCCTTTGCGCCTGCATTCGCCGTGATACCCTGTAAATCTGTAAAAACGGCGAGGAATGTGATAAGCCGTCGTTGTTTTGGTGTCCGATTCGCCACCCTTATCGGGTGGAAGGGCCAGTTCTGCATTTTCGCTGCCCAATTCCAAAACCAGTCCCATTATGCTCTCTATACCCTGGCAAAAAAAAAACGCTTCGTTGTTTTACGCGCGTCTTTGCCTCAGTCGCTCTCGTTCTCTCGCGCCCTGAGCGCAAGTCGCTCTTTGCGCTCAATTGTTCAATTGCCAGACAAACTGGCTCTATTTGCACTGGTGTGCGTCCGTGTGCGTGGCGTCAGGCAGTGTTGCAAAGCGCCGCCCAGTTGGACTTAAAAATTCTAATTGGCGTGGGCAGCGGCTCAGGCAAAGCGCGCGTTTTCCTTTGCCTCGTTTCTTTGTTGTTGGTCTCCCACTCATGGCCTGGCTTGTTAGCCCTTAAATGAATTATTTACTTGTTTTGCATTTATAGAACAAACATATTTCGCCCCTTTCAAATCTATACCTGGTTTTTAAACATCATAAATTGGTAATTAATGAAAACCATCGACTTTCTGGATATGGGTAATTAAAAAATTAATTAAATATTTGGTTCGTAAATAATTTTCCAATTCATCTTGGTTTCTCATAGTTCACAAATCAAATATGTATATATGTATGTGATTTTATTATTATTCGTATTTCCGAAATAAAGTAATTGCTAGATGTTAAACAAACTTTTAATGAAGGCACAAGTCTTTCCCCCCATCAATTCAATCCTTAAGGCCATTATAAACAATCTAACACATCAACATCCAATATCTTTGAGTGCGTTTATGCCCTATAAGTGAAACTTTCTATGACTGGACTTGTGAGAATCAATTTTAGAAACCAGCCCTTTTCCCTTTTTTTCCGTTTAATCACTTCCGCGTCGTCAAACGTTTGACTCTGACTCGCAAAAAAGGCGTTGCCAGGGTCCTTTTTGATACATATATACATATATATATATATGAAATATAAGTCTTATCAGACCTTGCCAAGGCAACAAATTTATCCCAAGAAAACTTTTTGCAGCTTTACCGTTTTCATTGTTGTTTTTGTTGCTGCCTGCAGCTGGGGAAACTCAATTGTGATTACTTTTAAAGGCGAAACCGTCGCCGTCGCCGTCGTCGTCGCCTCGCTGCACTTGAAAACGGATTTGAATCTCCCATACACTGAGAATTTTGCATTGCAAAAACATAAAACCCATGTTCAACCAATAAAAAGTCTTTATGTGCCGAACTGGTTTTTAACGTGAGCGATAATGCTTGAAGTTTTATCTAAAAAGATTTAAAATCGATAAGATTAGATTTCAAATCTTCCTAATTTCTGACTGGTTTCTTTTTGTTATATAAACTAGACTCCGAATCTAAGACACCCTCTTCGGAAGCACGTTTTTTCCATTCTGAAAATATTTTAAAATCTAGTAAGAAAGATGAAATGCACTAACAAATGTTCCATTTCCTTAAATTAGTTAATTTTTGTATGTTTGTTAAAAAATATAACACACTGAAATCAAAATAATAATCGTAATCATAACAAAACTATTTTAGGAACGTCAAATTAATATAAACTATAACCAGAATGGTTACAGTTTGTTTTATTAAAACTGTTTAATGGATTTTCGGATATATGTGACTATACTTATAAAAGATCCTATAGTCTAAGGAACTTCGAAATAATTCAAAATCTGAACACTGATTTTAATGAGAAAATATAAAAATGAATTAAAAACTCGTAGTACTAGAAAGCAGAGTATTTGCTCTTTATCATCACTTTTTAGTTCTTGCAGCTTTTTTCAGTGCAGCGCACAACATCGCCCTTGTTTTCTTTGTTACTGCGGGGAAATATCAGTTACTATATTTACGAATGCGGGGGAGTAACTTTCTGGAGCTCAGCTCACAGCAATTATTCCAATCGGTTATTCATAGCAAACAATTATTGCTGAAATTACATTTTATGGCATTACACGAAATCTGCTGAGCCCATTATTTAACAGAAGTTCAATTTGACCCTATATAAATAACAAAAATTGTGTTTTGCAATAAATTAATTACTTACAACAGTTTTATTTTCATTCAGACTAAAGAAAAGTAAAAGTTAATTCATATTAAATAAATTAGCAACTGTATGTTAAAAGATTGATTTTGCACGTTTTAGATTAAATGGAGGAGGAGACATTGTTTAGGGGTTACTCCCTGAATAAAAGTTTTGAAGCGCAAGTTCTTTCAATTCTATGATGACATATAGTATTAGAAATTTTTGTAAACCCGATTTTAAGTATATTTTTGGTTAATTTTGAAACAAATTAGGCGACGTATATTAACTTTAAGGCAAGGGAAATGATTTAACTACCAACAAGTTTATTTGTTTGATTTTTAATTAAAAAGCTTCGTACTTACTTACCTAATTCAAATATTTACTATTGATCAAAAAGAATCTCTGTCTAGAGAACACGTTCGTTATTTGTATTTGTATATACTTACATGTAACTTAAAGTTTATTAAAGAAAATAAGAGGATATGTAGTTGCTACCAAGATGTTCATTTGTTCACATTTAAATCACATTTTTTTTTAGAGATTTATTTGAGAGAACAATGTGTAAATAAAATGCATTTTTACTGCAATTGTGGAAAGGCATCCAAGCTTCTTGCCTGGCTCCATCTCAACCAGTTTTCCTATACTTTCGTCCCCTTTCTCCTCGCTTTTGGGTCCGCTTTTCTTTGAGTCCACGGCTTTTGGTTGCTTCGCTTTACGCTTTTGTTGCAATTTCTTTTTAGGCATGTGTTTCCCACCTTCTCTGCAAATTTTTCGCACTCGGCCTGTTTTGTGCAATCGCTTTGTCGCCGTCGTCTTCGTCGTCTTCGTCGTCAACGTCATCAGCGTTTTGCCTTTTTTGTTGTGTGCATTTTCCTTGCCGTTTTCCATTTACTTTTCCCCAGTCGCTTCGCTCGTTCGTTCGTTCTGCTGCGTTGGATTTCAACCTGTCAAGGGGGCGCAAGGGGGCGGTGGGTGTTGGGGTGGTCCGCCTGCCCTGTGTAAGTGTGTGTGTGTGTGTGTGTGAGTATCTGTGTGTGCGTTGGCTGGGCTGCAGATTGAGGTCTGTACTTTGTTGCACTTTCTTGCCCGCCTGCATTTTCTAACTGGTTGGGCTAGAACCCATCGTCGCTAAGTCGTCGCTGCCGCTGCCGATGCCGATGCCGCTGTGAGTGCAGACTGCAGTCTGTAGGCCGTTGACTGCATTGAGTGGCGTCTCCTTCCTGCCCCGCCACTCCCCCTTACCAGCCCCTTTGCCGCCCCCCAAAAGCACCGCCTCTTATTGTTGACCCTGCGCGCCACTTATTTCGTTCCTCTTCGCCTGCATCTTCTGCTGCTGGTGCCAGTGCAGTGCATTTCTTTTGCTTCGAAGCCCCACCAGAGCCAAGCACTCAACCCGTTTGGTGGTGGCTACAGTTAGGGTACAGTGGGCACTCAGTGCGAGAACTTCTATTTCGGATCGTATTGGACGAGTACACTCAAATTTTGGCTTAGCTCTACTAACTTCACACCCAATTGTGCTACTAATTTGTTGGCTTTGTCGAAATTTAATTAAAATATTTACCTTATTTGCTTATTTTCCATGTTGAAACTTAACATGAACAACTCGTATGTTTAGAAAATTCATCGCAAATTTGTTTTGAATGCCACAAACAAATAGTTAATATCCAAATCAGATATTTGCTTCAAAAATTATTAAGAAAATATGTTGAAAACACGTCTTCGATAAATACTCCTGGCCGGCAGATGGCGCTACATCTTTATTACTTGTAGCGGCGCCATCTGAGGATGGAATATTCATTAAAAAACTGCTTAACAGAGTTATAGATCGGGGCAACCACTTTAATCAATATCCTTAGAATTTTGCAGATCAACATTAAATGACTATTCGTGATTTTATTTCCCATATAAATGTGCATAAAGTTAGCAGAACAACTTTTGAAATTTAAACTTTTTTCTTATCGACAATTTGCCGTTATTTATCCGTAAATTATTCGTGAAAGAAAAAAATTTGCCGCTCAATTTTTTAAAAAATTATGAGATGTTCTGCTAACTTGATATCAAGTTAGCAGAACATCTTACTAAACTTCAACTTTTCCAAAAAATTTTTAACTGGCAATTCCAAGCTAAAAAAATTTTGGAAAAGTTAAAGTTTAATAAGATGTTCTGCTAACTTGATATCAAGTTAGCAGAACAACTATGTTTTTTTAAAAAAAAATCCTTAAAACAGGAGCGGCAAATTTTTTTCTTTCACGAATAATTTACGGATAAATAACGGCAAATTGCCAGCTAAAAATTTTTTGGAAAAGTTGAAGTTTAGTAAGATGTTCTGCTAACTTGATATCAAGTTAGCAGAACATCTCATAATTTTTAAAAAAATTGAGCGGCAAATTTTTTTCTTTCACGAATAATCTACGGATAAATAACGGCAAATTGTCGATAAGAAAAAAGTTTAAATTTCAAAAGTTGTTCTGCTAACTTTATGCACATCCCATATAAGACTGCAAAAGCAAAGGACGCAACCCCAGCATGTTACTCTTCTTCA